AATATCCAGTGGTGGGATTCAGCCAGCTCACACGTATCCGGAAGAACCGGTTGTTAACTTTCTAAGCAGTTTGGAGAACCGGTTGTTGGAAGAAATCTCATTTTGTTTTTTCCCCACTTTACAGGGCTAATCCCGTAAGGAAGGCAGAAAGGAAACATTCTGGTGCTGTTTCTAGCCTTATTGCCCTGCTTGCAGAAACTGCCTCTCCGGTTAGCCCTTAGTATATTGTAACAGCTAAGGCGACGCGCCCATCGACCTGAATGACGTTGAGTTGGCCATGCCCACACGGTCACATAACCACTGAGCCATGCCTACCCAGTGGGTCATTAGGGCAGAGAACCGGTAGTTAAATTATTTGAATTCCACCACTGAATTTACACTTTCAGAGTGGCATTTTTATAACAACAAACCTGGGTATAATCCCCCTCTATTTTTGTTTAATTTTGGATAACGCTTGCTTGCTTGCTTGCTTGTTTTTACTTGAGTTTTTGTCACTCCCTACAACCTTTCTTCTTGGATCCTCTGTTGTTAATAGCTAGTAAAACTGAAATTTAACTACAGATGTTAGCTTCTGGCACTTTCTTTTTTCCTGCCTGACCTGCTATGTTTGCTTGTATCATTAACCATGTATTGCAGCCTACCTTGGCTTTGCCTTTTCACCGTTCCCTGGCCTTCTGCTGTTCTGGACCCTGTGGCTGCTGACAGCCCTGGCTACCTTCAGAAATCCTGCAATTTGTAGCTGTTGTGGGCGGTGATTTAAACTCTGGCAACTTTGCCTGATGTCCTTGGGCTGCATGTCAGGAAGAGGATGGGGGAGAGAAAGCCCTTAAGGAAATGATTTGCAGTTCTGGTTGACATGGCCAATAATTTTATTCTTCCCAAATTCATGACTGCCAAAAAAGCTTTTATTGCTTTGTGCAATTGTCTGTAGCCTCCTCCCTCATATCACGCCAACCTCTTCATTTCATTAGTGTCCCTTAGCGGCTGGAGTACGTGAACTAGAATTAATATTTGCAATGGGAGTGGGAATTCTTCACTGTGAAACTTTTAGCAGCTTATTTTAATAATAACAAGATTTTATTTGCAGGCTGAGCAAAAATTTGTTTGATATATCAGGACAATTCCTTGTTTCTATCTCCTTACCTCCTCCCACAAAGAGACATACCATGTTTAAATCAGGACCATTTTCCTTCCCTGATGAACTAGCTTTGTGAGGCTATTTAGCATTTATATTCATGCAGCATCTTTCAAGTGTCCAGAACTCCGTGTATATGAACACCAATAGACCAGTCCTGTACATAAGCATTGTAAATTCAATTAAACAGAAACTATGTAGAGTTGGCCTGTACTACTATATGATCCCATACTGCTGATGATAAACAGAGGTATAGTTTAGCAGAGAGCAAGTCGCCTAATGTTTTTGTAGGTAAAGTGAAATGTGAATCTAGGATTCCCTGGGTATGTACTGGTGTAGACTTTCATGGCAGTGTTGAACTTCAAGATTTATCTGGACAGTAGGTTTTTTTTTTTTTTCCACAGACAAGGGTGGCTGGCATTTTCAGAGGCAAGGTGGTCTCTTCACAGACCACAGGCAACTGAGCAGAAATTGACTGGGCTTTATATAGCCAGGTGATTTGACTTTTGATTGATCTTTAGCTGAATTAGTTTCCAATTGATGCAAGTGAAATTAACCAACCAGCATGGACAATAGATGAATCAGGTATATACACCATTAAAATGACCAATCAAGATCAGGCACAAAGAACCAATCAGAGATAGTCTTCACCAATCTGCACCAAATGTGGTCTGCGTAGTCATAACTGCTGGTTAAACTTCACGAAGTCTGTCTGACCATAGCCACTAAATCCTGACACTCAATACTGCCCAATAGCATTTTGACCGTTGCTTATACTCTTGTCCAAAACATTAAATTATTGATATACACATGTATTCAGCTGAGTTCTAGTATTTCTACCTATACATCCGAAAATCTCTCTATCAAAAAATAATTGTTTTCTGTTTCATTAACCTTGATCAAGCTCTGTTCTTCAAAATGAGTAACATGACTTAGCCCTTTCAGTACATGTATTATGCAATTGTAAATGGAGCAGGTTTTTAAACAAACTAATAAATCAAAGCAGATTTTTCATGTGCATTGGTAAATGTAAAACTATTTTATATTAAAATATTTTTTAAAAATATAAAATTGGTTTAGATGAAAATATTTGTAGGAAAAGAGTAAAGCAGCTTTCAAATTGTTGCCTTATGATGGCAAGATTGCCACAACATCATAATTAAATCTGCCAGGTTTGTACAAGAATAATAATTAACACTGTCTTTGGTTTTCCACTCCTTATATGGAATGAGAGGAAAAAATAACTCTGAAAGTCCGCAAGACATGAAAACGAATTGTCAGAACACAATTTTGTCATAACATTCTCCATTGCTAACATCATGATACCTTACAATTTAGGTACCTCGCAGTAGATCATTTTGGCAGGGCATCTTGTGCAAGAAATAGGACTTTGAAAATCAGACACTTTGAAAAATAGTAGTATTTCTTGAAGAAAGGAGATATACATGGCTGAGATTCAGGGTACTGAGTGAAACTGTTTTAAAGAAAAAACAACAGCAAAAAATACTGCATTATTGCATGTGTGTTCACTGAAGAAAGCCTGTGATTTCCTGTCTAGGAAATCAGAATTAAATAATAATTTCTCCTTAAATATTTATAAAAGAATAAACGTATGCTGCTTTCTATTTTTCTCAATCACAACTGTGAAAAAAAACCGTTTATTAAATATGCTATTTGATTAGAGTCTTGGATGGTTGTGTCTTTTTCAGTAAGAATGCAGTGGAGAAAATTCAGCATATTTCCATGAGACGGAATGATAAAAATATGTAATAATTTGTAGAGCCATGTCTCTCTTTTTCAAATATAAGATTTAACATTGAGTAGTTTATGCCCGCAATCTGAGCAAATGCCTTTGTGTATTTCTTTTCCACTCTGCAGTTTCACAGCACTTGTGAGCACCAATTAAAATAGAATAGCAATAGCACTTAGACATATACTATTTCATAGTGCTTTACAGCCGTCTCTAAGCAGTTTAAAGTGTCAGCATATTACCCCCACCAATCTGGGTCCTCATTTTACCAATCTCAGCAGAAGGGCAGGCTGAGTCAACCTTGAGCCAGTCAAGATTGAACTCCTAGCTATGGACAGAGTTAGCCTCAGAGATGGGTTCCGACTGGTTCGGTCCAGCTGAATAACTAGTAGAAATCTGGCATACCTTTCAAAACCAGTAGTAATGATAGCCTGACCACGCCTCCAAACGGTTCTCTTGGTGGCGCCATTGGCTCCGCCATCTTGGATTTTGCTTCTGCACATATGCAGAGCAATTTTTATTGCACTGTTTGGCTATGCTTGCCTGCTCTGACGCTCGCCCTCCCTCACCTTCGTCATGGGGATCCACAGAGCTTCCACTTCCTGGCTCCTGCCTACACACAGGTAAGCAGCATTCGCGCTAGCCTAGCTTTTAAAAGCCCTTTTCCCCAGTTGATTTGCCTGAATGGGCAGGAAAAAAAGGCTTTAAAAAGTTTTTTTAAAAAAACTTCTGACAATTGCGGAGCTCAGCTGTGAGGCACACGATTGTCAGAAGCTTGTTTTTTTACTTTTTAAGAAAGAAAGAACTGTTTAAGAAAGAAAGAAAGAAAAACAGCACACCAATTTAGGACTAGAAGACTACTTGGAGGTCATCTAGTCCAACCCCCTGCTGCAGCAGGAAACCTTACATTGTCTGGATTATTTTGGTGCATCTAACAGAGAGGAAAATTGCCTGAAAGGAGAAGCAGTTTACTAGGACAATGCTGCATGCAGAGGAAAGCAGGGATAGTCCTTATGACTGCAATTGAGCCCAAAAGTTTGGTTGCTAAGCAAGAGCATTGTGAAGTGAGCTTCACCACATTTTACCCAATCCATGACATCTCCTGGTGAGTGACATCAAGTTGGCCATACCCACCCAGTCAGATGCCCAACCAGTCACATGACCATGGAGCCGTGCCTGCCCAGTCACATGACCAACAAGCCATGCCCACCATCACATGACCAACAAGC